ATAGACGAATTCACCAACACAATCGAATTTGATCACAAACGAATATGAATATTTTTGTATTTAGATAAGAAACTTCCTACGACATTTAAAAATTTTATTTTGTTGGTATGAATCATCTCATGTATATAAATAATATTATAGATCACTCAGTCACTTGAAAATTGTTTAAACGTACATATCAACTCATTTCAATTTATATTAAAAATTAGATAAACGAACAATGTCTATTCCGATAAATGTAAGAAAAACTGATATGAATTTTGTACTTTCATTCTAAAAAACAACAAGTTTTTATTTATGAAAGAATTTTTTTTATGAATTGTTTATTTAAGTATGTGATTTTGCGTATGTCACGATTTTTCAAACATGATATATTAAAAATGAAAAATAGTTTGACTCATTGCTTATAAAATTACTTCCTTTTCTTACTCATTATCGAGCAATATTTTTGCCAATGAAAAATATACCTGATATAAAAAAAGCGGTAGTAGTCATCTATAAAAAAAAGAGAACATATTATGATGACAGTATCAAAGTAAGTTTTTAATATTTTATTTTCACTTCAGTTTATAATAGCCCAATTAGATATAGCTACTGACAATGAGCCTTACAATTTGTTGGAAGTTTCATGTAAAACTACGCTTCACTCCTAATAGAATTAAAACAAATACAAAACGTTCCTTCTCTCTTCCTACTGATTAGATCTCACCAAGCCCATTCGTTTGAAAATACTTTCAAATAGTCCACTTCAGAGGTGAAACTGGTTATGCCGAACTACAAAAAAGGTTCTTTCTGCGTACTGTAAAGTATGATGTTTTAGAGTGTGCTAATGTCATTACAAGGTATTACTATAAGAGCGATTCGTTTCTGCAATGGCAAGCAGTATACTGATATACGTCATCAAATCAGTCGTCTCCTATACGATTTTACATCAAAGAACAAAAGTGGAAGTTCGAACCAAACAATCCATCTGGACTGCGAGTGGTAGAAAACAATCAGTTGGTTGATAACATTGATGATAGTGCGATTTGGATTGTCGCTATGAAAGATAATCAATCAGTAGTCGGTTGTTCTCGACTTGTTGATAAAGAATTGATTGGAGGACAGCATGAAGCACAACTGTATTTACCCAAGGATAGTCGTTCATGGAAAACGATCGATTCTATGCATCCATGCGTAGAAGGAAGTCGCTTGGCTCTATCATTACCCTATCGTCGATCATTGATTGGTACAGTTATTGTGCAACAAACCCTAGCTTACGTTCACAACGCACTGCCCGGCTATGGCGCGTTCACTTGTACTTCGGACCCAGCTATGCAAAAAGCTTATGAACGTTTGGGTATCGTCTGTGTTGGAGAACCATTTCGATATAGCAAAAATGATCCACTACCAGTCAGGATATATTGGTGCAGTCCACAAATTCTAACAACAGCGATGGATCGTGCACTACATAAAATAAATCAAGGAAATTAATATTAATATTATGTATTAAATCCGTAACCCAGAAATCAAAACTGCTCTCTGTTAGATATAGATTTTCTTCTTTCTCTCATCTCTATTAGGATTTTTTTAATATGTGAGCAAGTTGTGTACGGTTTCTGAATAAACAACTCATTTAATATGGATAACAGCCAGTAGATATTAGAAATTATGATGAATGATCTCTTTCAAAAACAATCGCATATGATTTATGTTTAGTGTTTATTGTGGTAGCAAATGATGAAAAAATTAATCTATAAAAAAGAATTTTTTTGTTCGATATGTACCATTATGGAAAAATATTGTTTTTTAGCCCATTTTGACCTCTTCCTTGAGCAAATCCATGTCGACAATCATCTTGGCATTTTTCAATAATTCAGTAACATCCCAAGTGCAGTCTGAATAGCGTCCTCTTAAAAAATCAGCTTCATCTGTTGTGAGCCACACACAGTATCCAGCCGCGAGTTCAGGTTTATCTTCCAATACGAACATGTTATCAGGAAGACGTTTTGCTAGTTCAGTCTGCACACCACCTGGATGATAACTGAAAACTCTCGCATTGGGATATTCCACATGGATGAAATCCGTTATGCGATTAATGGCCGTCTTTGTAGGCTGATAAGCAGAATAGCCAGGAGTCGTCACAATAGATCCAATTGACGATGTGTTTATGATCGTCCCAGCACCTTTATAATTTTTCAAGAAATACGTAGTAGGTAGGTAAGTTCCTTTGACATTAATTTCCCATATAGACCACCATTCTTTCATGTCAGTCTCCCCTAAAGGGTTATTGCGTTCAATATAGCCTGCATTATTTACCAGAATGTCTACTACACCCTTAATTCCATGGAAAAGAGCTTCCACTTGAGATTCGTTTGCGACATCTGTTTCAACGTTAATAACTTCTATATTGTTCGCTATTGTCTTGATTTCATTAGCGACTTGTTCTAACTGAGACACTGTTCGTGCTGTAAGAATCAATCGACTGGCTCCAGCATGTGCAAAAGCTATTGCAATTGCTCGACCAATACCACGACCTGCTCCTGTAATGAGAACAGTTTTTCCATGAGCTTTATTGACTAACGTTGTTCGAGGATCAATAGTTTCGTAGACATCATGACGAACAGTTTCGATAAACGAAGGTTTTATGGGGGCTGGCATAATTAAATGTAATGGTGTAACACGAAAAATGCACTGATTAAGTTTTAAGAATCTAAAAAAGTACTGAAATTATTTACAATGTAATAAAAAATATTTTGTAGAAACGATAACTTAATATGTAAAAACAAACCATATAAATACACTTTTAATAGTTTATCGTCTACCTTTGTATTATGTTTTACATGTGTTCGTTGCTTGTATGATCATAATTTTTGTGTGCATTCAACCGAAGCGCTATATCGATTCTTTAGACATAGTCTCGTGTATAAACATTTTTTTATTCAGTATTTTAGTTAATAACGGTTCTATTTTCTACAACAATAATATAAATAATAATAATATCTATCTAATGATGACAAATGAATAAAAAAAATGATTTTATCGCCATCTATCAATAATCAGTTGTAAGCTATAGAAAACGGATTAATTTTCATATTGATTGATTCATATAAATTTAGTTTGTAAAAAATGTCACTTATATTTTATTCTAATTAAAAAATGAGTCAAAATAAGCGTGAATGTGTGACATTTCTACATGTACATCTCTAAATGATGCGAGTCATGAGTAAACCACCAAGTCACTGTTTATACAACGGTGTGCAAATATTCGTTTTTTTTCTAACGTGTTGTTTACTCTAAAAATAGAAATAACATTATTTCATTTTTCTTTTTGATTAAATAGTATTACTTTCGTTATAAAGTGAATAGAATAATGGCTGGACATCGAAAAATGATAATTATAACATCAGATGAAGATTTAATTCGTCAAGTCGTTTCGAATAAAACTAAAAATACACGTATTATTGATTGGATTGATGATAATGATAATACTGATGCGTCGTTTCTTGCACAATTATCTGAAGTTGTTTGTATTTTTATTTGAATTTCATATATATATACCATTTTAAGTTTTCTTTTGTAGAATTCTACACGTGATCAAGTATATAAACGAGCACTTGATTCATCTCATAATGAGCAATCAAAACAAGCAAAACTATCAAAAAAATCATTGGATATAATTTGTGCTATTTGTAATGATCGTGCAAATGGATTTAATTATAATGTTCTTTCCTGTGCATCATGTAAAGCATTTTTTCTTCGAAATGCAAATCAACAGTCGGTTAGTTTCGTATTTGATTTGCTTGTATATTGATTTGGATTCTTTTTTTAGAAGAGAATACGATGTATAACAGGTCAAAATCAATGTTCAGTTGCACATGAAATACAGCGAAAATGTCCACAATGCCGATTAAATCGTTGTTTTGCTGCAGGAATGAGACAAGATTTTCTTCTTAGTGATGAAGTAAAACAACGAAGAAAAAAACCTACAAAAGATAAACGAAATACTTCATCAAAACGTTCCTCAACAGTCGATCCAACATCACAATTTTCGACGAATTCAGAACCACTTGATGACATCGATCGTGTAAGTTTATCGTTTTAGTTAAATTTGAAATTTAATCGGAAAAAATTGATTTTTGTTCATTTTAGCTATTAATGGATACAGATGAAAATCTTGATTTAAATAATGAGTTAGAAGATATATCATTGAGAACATTATCTATTGAAGAATGGATAACAATTGAAAATATTCGATCTTCATTTTTATTGATTTTTCAAAATGAAGATAAAGGTTGTCCTTGTTTCGATATGTCAAGTCGTGCTAATGCTCTTATTTCTTGGTCCCAATTCATTAATAGAGTGGCTCTAAAATTTATTACATTCTTTCGACAAATAGATGAATTTGAAAATCTACATGATGATGATCGTTTTCTATTGATTAAATATAATCTTCATCCAAATTTTTCATTATTCAAAAGTGTGATTTATAAACCATACAATGATTGTTGTTTGACTGATAATAATCATATGGCAGTTAGACAATATCAGTTCTATAATTTATGTGGTGATTCATATGGTATTCGTGAAGCATACATACATATGATAAGTTCTATTGTTCAAGTAACTGAACAAGATCCAATATTTTTATCTCTCCTATCGACAATATTTATTTTCACTCAAGGTTTAGCAATAAATGATGAAGGATTATTACTAAAAGATTCATTAGCTGTTTATCGAGCTCAAAGTCATTATACAACATTACTTTGGAAATATTTAGTTAGTAAGCAAGGTGAAATACAAGCGCGCAGATATTTTACTCAATTGTTGACGACAATCTTTCAAATACAGTTCGTGTGTAGAAGATTTCAACAGTTTTTTCGTACTCAAATAATATCATGTAACACAGCGGATAAAGTTGCACCGATTATGCAAACTGTTTTACAAATTTATTAATTCAATTTTTTATTTATTATAAAAGTTGAATATATTATATATTACAATAAAAGTTATTTACTAATTCAGATTAAAGATCATTTTCGTTTTTTTATTTTACTTAAGTTTAGGAACTTTTGACTGTCCTAAGTATAGATGAATGCTAGAGTGGAGGTGTGGATCACAATAACAGATAAAGTCTGTATATTGTAAGCAGGTTTATTAATATTAATTATTTTGAAGTGAAAAAATTACAATACAATACAACGTTAATATGAGGTTTTTGGTGTCAATATATTGGTTGTAAGTTTCGTGTTGCTGCGGTTGTTATCGGAACTTGTTGATGTTGTACTCTGTTTCTTCTATTAACAGGACAACATAAGATCTTGATCTTCTTAATTATTTCCGGCAGACTGATCAAACAAATAAATGGCATTAACAATGGTACAAGGTATCCGGCATATAAAAAATAGAGTAAGTTTAAAGTAAATAGAAAAAATGGATCAATCCAGAGTCGAATCAATGAGAAGACTGTTATGGGTAAGTAGATGCTAAGAAAAAGAAAAGAAATGGAGAGTAGTTGACTGGTAAGTTTGCGAGTAATGCGCCATGTGTTGGCGCGTTGCATCATATATTTTTGGTGAACTACTCGTACGGTGAGAAGAACATTGACAATGACAGTACTGAGAATAGGTATAAATGAGCTAAGTATCCAATCAATTGTGCCAATCACTCCTTGAAATGAGTAACATGCACCTGTACACCACAGTTGAGTATAATCGAATTGTTGTTGACATGGATAAAATATGATAAATATCACGTACCAAATGCAATAGTAGACAAATGGCACTATAATTGGTATGTAGTGTTTGAGATGAGAATTCATAAAGTTTCTGTGAAAGATAAAGATATATCGTTGAACGGAGGCGACTGCCATTATCCAGAAACTAACTGTGTAAAGAAGATAATTGGCAAAGATCCAATAGATACAAAGAGAATAAGAGGCTGGAAAAAGTTGACCATAGTAAAGGTAGACAAGCGTAATTGGTAATTCAATTGTAGTAATGAGAAAATTACAGAGTAATAAACATATAACACTAAAATAAAATTAATCAATTAAGCAACAAGTAAATAAAAGAAAAATTAACTGTTCTCAATAAAAACAAATACTTACACATGATGATGTTGTTTCATATGTAAGTCTCGTAAGCGAATAAAATAATAGAATATAATTAAACTGCAAAAGACCGATGGAATTTGACAGCTAATCAATAAGCTAAATTTAATTTTTCGACTAAATGGTGTTTCGAATACAGAAAAACCATTATTACCATAGTCGACAGTTTCATTGCTATTACCGGATCTGTTCATTCTTTTTATTTGATAACGATAAAAGTACTATTAATATTGCGTAGGTTTTCACTTCTTTTATCTATAAAAAAAACATAAAGCTTTGGTATCTTATGGATCAAATCAATAACTATCCGTTATAGAATCTTTACTATCATAAACTGTTATCTATTGAGAAGGATACTATTGGGAAGTTCATCAAAAAATGAATATAAATGATACATTTTGTTCGTCCAGGTTGTGAAGTAAAGCCTTTTTTCTAATGACGATTTTTAATGAGAAAATGCGCTTAATCATTGAAATGATGTTTGAAGAAGAATAGAATAAGAAGGAGATGTTCCTGAATTCTATAATATCCGAGACAGCATGACATCAAATGAAATAAGAAAGAAATATATGATTTGACGTTAATGTAGCTATTTTGACAAGGGAAAAGGAAATAAAACATCTCGTTATGTTGCGCTTTATAATGAGTTGAGAAATAAAAGAGTTTCCTCTCATTTTATTCTTGTTCAAACATCTTTTCAATGATTGAAGAAATTTTCTCATGAAAAAAATTCTGCTTTACGATCTAAATGAATCATTTATACTAACTTTTTGATGAAATTCACTTGATGGATGAAAAGAGCAAGAACTATTCCAACAGTTCATGCTAGCAAAGATCCTGCTACATTAATTACCGTAGTTCTTAATAACTGAATAAGGTTTTAATTTTGGATCGAAATGTTTTGATAAGAGCGACGCATCTAGAGGAGATAAAGAAAAGAAACAAAAAATATAATGTAGGGAGAAACTAGAAGCATATTCAGAATATGCATCGTGATCAATTGAATATTTTTCTAGTGTATATTAAAAAACATTTCTATTTTATTAATGTTATAGAATATAAATTGACTACTAGCCAAATGTTAATATAATTTTTATCGAATTTTATTATTTAGCATCGCTTATTCGAGTCAGAATATAGATAATTTGTGTTGTTTAAATAAATTATTTAATTTAAACTTGTTTTATTCTACTTTTCTTAATAACTTTATTACATGTAAATCGTTTGCGATGATTCGTTGATAAAACATGAATTTTTATGAAAATTTATAAGCAGTATAAAAAAAATGACACACATTAGGGATATATGACCAATCTAACACATACTTTTATCGATATCAAATCTTTGTACGCGATGATTATTAGAATCGACCACATAGAGATTGCCATCAGAATCTAGTGCTATATCAGTTGGATTAAAAAGTTGATCAGATTCAGAGCCTGGTTTGCTATCACCAGCAATAACATGACCACGTGTAGCGCCACGTAGCCATCGCATTATTTGGTTACTACTAGTATCAGTCAGATATACGGCGCCCGAATCATCAACAACAACACCAGAAGGATTTCCTAATTGATATGGTTCATTATCAAGAGATCCGGCAGCAACAATCGTTATCTGTGTTGATCCATTATCGACTTTTATCACTCGATGATTATTTGCGTCAGCAATATAAACAGATTGATTTCGATCAACGAACAACAAACGTGGAAAACTAAGTTCTGAAGTGATTAATTGTCCAACAGTCTCACCAGTACGCCATTTTCTCACTTCGTACTTAATTTCACTAGATAAATAGATTGATCCTTCTTCATCTTGTGCAACACCGAAGACAAAAAACTCTTCAATAATTGTTTCTCCGCCTTTAGCATTTGGATGCCATTTCTGTAAACGACTGTTACCTGTATCACTAATGTACATAATTCCATCCTTATCAACGACAACATCAGTCGGTTTATGAAATTGATTAGCATCTTCTCCTTCATCATTTCCACCTGCGACTAGCTGACCACTGGATACACCATGATCCCATTTGACTATACGATGATTTTCTGTGTCCGCCACATAAATAGCTTGATTTTTATCGATAAAAAGTCCATAGGGATAAAGTAATTGATTGAGTTCTGATCCTTGATCAGTGCCCCCAGCTACAGTTGTTCCATTTCGTGACCATGTTGCATTTGCACAAATACCATCAGCAGGTTTTGGAGAATCTTAAACAATAAAGAAAGAACAATAAACATCGATCTGTTCCATAAAAGTAAACTATTTCTTGACTGACTTAGAACTGAGTGAAAGAGAGTATAAATAATATTAAAAGAGAATATCATATTCACATTATCGATTTTCATAGCTTCGAAAAAATAGTTAAAACGAAAATAAATATTATTCTGTTATAGCAAAGATTGCAATAGGCATGATAAAATCACTGTTTTTTTCTCAACGTAACTTTTAGCAAGATACAGAGTACTATGGGATATAAAGTAACTATATTCTATGGTTAATTTAAACGTAGTATTTAAAAATATTGAGAAGCGCGAGTCTGAAGCTTACTTGATTGTTGAGTTGTAGTCATGGTTGTCGTTAATGATTCTGTTGTTATCGTTAGTGATGTGGTTGTAAGGACCGTCGTTATAGGGACCATCGTCATAGTTGTTGTTGCACTAGTAGTGTTAGTGTTTTCTTGCTTATCTGGTACAAGAATAACAAACTTGAGCATTAAAGTGAGGGTAACTACAAAAATTGTTAAGATGATAAAGGAGATGCAAATGATCTTAAATTTGCGATGATGCCACCATTTGCGTGATCCATTAGTTTCAGCAGTATACTGACTGTAAGCATTGTTTTTATGCATCTTATAATTATTTTACAAAAAGTTAAACAAGAAAAAGAACGAGTTATTACTTGAAACTACTTTATATTTGCATACTATTCCTATGAGTAACAAAAGATAAGTAATATTATCTTCGTCATAAAAAAGGTATGCTATTCTTATGAATTTAAAGAATAAATTTTATATGTGAGCATGATAGTGCAACAGTATGCTTTACTTTAACATTTTGTTATGTCGGATATTTTTATCTTAGTAAATATATAATACAGTCAAAGAAATGATCTATTTTATTATAAGTTATGAACAACTATTGTTTTTCAATTTTTCAGCCTATAGATGTTGCATAACAATAATATAGGCGTGGGTGAATATGGGTGTTGGTATAGAAGAAGAGAAACTCACACTCACACCCGCATCCACCGCGTACCCACACCGACATCTACACCCTCACTCATTTCTTCATTCATACACAACCGTTGTTAATTTTACAAAAAGTATCGAATGCATTCTCTGAATGGTTTATTCATTGTGTCGCTACATTCAACAGTAACATTATAAATACTATACAAAATAGACTCAAGTTTTGATAAATGTTTGCTTGCGAAGGTATTCTCGTAGTGCTTTGTGTGGTCGTAGTGCTATATGTTGTTGATGCATTGTAAAAGAGAATATTAAATTGATTAAGTATTTGTGTTATGTTGGAAACTCCCCCTTCGCCGTTACAAAAGTCTTTCTGGCAATAATATAACAACGAATATTGCTCAACGTTAACAACAACTACGTCACTCGTATAATACGAAGCTTCATATGATGTTTCGTATATCGGTTGTTTTGTTGATGAACAATTTTTCTCCAGTATTGTTCCGGTACTCTTGATGTTGTTCAGTTTTGTCATACAGGAGCTGTTGTTACACGACTGAAATTGATTGGTACTACTGGTGTGGTAACAGTTAATCGTATCTATAATAACTTCATTCGTATTTGAAAAAAACGGTTCAATTTGTGTTTTAAGTCTACCATAGCTAAACACGCTTAACTGAATCAATTTTTCTACAACATATTTTCCATCGCAAAAATCTTCAGAATAGCAAATATGCTCTACTACTCCGGTAAGGACACCCGTTTCTAGATTGCCATACGTTTTTTCTGATACAATAGAGCTGATTAGTTGTTGTCTAAAGCTGCGAGTAACACCAGTATTATAACCAAAAGTTATATTGACTACTTCCTTTGTGTAATCAATAAATAATTTTGTTTCACATTTCCGATAAAACTGAACCTGATCTCCAGCGCCGAATTGATCAGGCTTAAATAGTTCGCTAAACTTAACGACTCTTGAGCGGTATGTTGGTATACACTTATACTGTTGCGAATAACTGAATGATACAAAACAAAATAAGAATATAATAATACTGTTTAGCGGCATCTTTTAAGGTTACTTTTAAAACGATAATGTTCTTTTTAAAGCTCTCATTCTTTTTATATACGATCGAAAACAGGCAATAAATACAACATGTTGGTAAAATTGTTTCAAGTGGAGTATGTAGTGCATCAGTCAGTATATCAGAGGAAGAAGAGAAAAAAAGACAATGTGTCATTGCTACTTGAATATGAAACGAGCTGAAGGTGGGTGGGTTGGGTGAGTGTGAATATGGGACGATAGTGACCTGTTTAACATACCCACGCTCTCATCGACACTCAGATCTACAGCCTCAAGACAGTTGAACCCTCTCCCCTTCGCTCAAAAAAGTCGATTTGAGGGTGTGGGTGTGGGTGTGGGTGTGGGTGTGGGTGTGGGTGTGGGTG